GCACACACACACACACACACATACACACACACAAAAATCATGCTATTTCGTCACGCTTATCATCAGTGCTATTGTATAACACCATGACATTGATTCCAATAAATAGAGAGAGAGAGAGAGAGAGAGAGAGAGAGAGAGAGAGAGAGAGAGAGAGAGAGAGAGAGAGAGAGAGAGAGAGAGAGAGAGAGAGAGAGAGAGAGAGAGAAAGAGAGAGAGAGAGTATACCTGGCTTTGAAGGCTCGCCTTTGTACGTGTGTTGGAAGACTATTGGGATTTATTAGCCCCGAAGGGTTAATAACTCAGGATAAATCAATAGAACGCAATCATTGTGGCGTATTTCTATTGGGTATTCTTTTCATGGGTCATCCTCCAGGATGCCACCCACAGCAGGTAAGTAACGCCCAGGTATTTATATAATGATGGGCGGGGGAGGATTTACTACGAAACTAATGATGCTTAAGCTTCAGGGCCCTAATCCCGGAGGGGCCCCAGAAGCCACTTTAATCCAGATTAATTAAAAAAAAATTGGTCTACTGTATGAGAAGGGCTTTTAGAAAATTACAATATTAATAATATAGTGTAATTCAATACGTAATAATAGTCAAAATAAAAATTAAAAGGCTATTGTTTATTGTGTTATTAAAATATGTAGGCTAGCCGTTGCTACTTGTGAAGGGGCCCCGATAACGGTTCATGCTTCAGGGCCCCCAAAATGTAGAGCCGTCACTGCTAGGTACCAGAGGCAGCAGGTATTAGGGAGGCTTGATCATGTCTCCCACCTCGTGTGGGGGTTCAACACATGTTTCCTTCAGTTACCTCTACATATCAGAATGTGTGAGCAAAACTCAGTCAAAATGAGGCCTCTAGGCTATATAACCGACACGTTGTTAAATTAGACACATATGCAACTCTTGGGTATCTTTATTGAACGGCGAAACGTTTCCTCAATAAAGATACCCAAGAGTTGCACATGTGTCTAATTTATATTTGATCTGTCAAGATTTAGAATTATATTATTTCAGAAACCCTGTACATCCAAAGTATGTGGCAAATGATAAAGTTGACTGAGGTCAAACTGGAACAAGTCTTGAACTAAGATTTCAACATAAACATGGAATCTTAATTCTGAGGACATGTACATAACCTTCACGACTACGACAACTACTACTACAACTAACCCATCTCTTTGGGAAGGACCTACTTCCACTGGGGAATCCCGCCTACCAGTGATTATGCCCTCGTCTGCTACACCTGACGTTACTATATAAGCGCCAGGATCCTTTCTTCTGCTTCAGAATCTCCACGACTATGGTGCTCTTCGCACCTACTCCTAGGTTGAGGGACTGATTACCTCATCTTCTGTACATAGTTCTACTGTCTTCAAGTTATGTCCTAGAATTTGTATTGATAAAGCCACTGGATGGCGAAACGTCTACAATAAAGATACCCAGATGTTGCACATGTGTCTTAATCTCATCTTGTCGGTATTGTATACCATTCGTACACGTACCTCCAGGTGCCCAGCTTGTAGCCTGGCTGTTGTAGTGTCGTACCTCCAGGTACCCAGCTTGTAGCCTGGTTGAAAATAAATGGTATAAAATACAGACACAATGGAAACATAAACACAAATGCAGTTTAATGTGATCCTTTATTGACAACGTTTCGCCCACACAGTGGGCTTTTTCAAGTCACAAACAGATCTACCTGGGGTGGAAGGTACGGGAGTATTTATAGTCGGGTTCAGAATGTTGAGGTCAGGTGGAGAATGCTGCATCTGATGATCTATCGGGCGGGGTTATAGAGTCTTGGGTAGCTTGGCAGGGGTATTGGACAAGTTGTGAGTAGACCTTCTGCAGTGTTCTATGTTCTTATGTGGGATAGCGATGAAGAAGTTTCTTGAAGACTGAGACACTTATGCAACATATGGGAATCTTTATTCTTGTTATTCGGTTTTTCAAACCATTCATCACAAGAAGTTTCTTGGCGAGTGGTTCAGCTATGTTATAGAAGCCGTTGTTCTGGTTGAAACTGTTGGTTATAGAGATAAGCGATGATTCCAAGATTCTTCTGTATTGAGTGTTTCTTCTGTGGCGATAAGTCTTGAGTTTCTGTAGTTAAT